TACTGTTCTTTTTTTATAATTAACATTTTTTAAAGGATTTTTTTAGCTGCAAACGTTTTTACATGAATTTATATCCCGCCGGTGCTCAAATCCAATATTTCTACATCGCTGCTTTTGGTGATTTTACTACTAATTATATTCTCATACTTGTTTTACGCGCTTCTGGCTTCATTTTTAATTCCTTTTCTCAATTCCTCTTTTCCTCTCACCATTCTTCTGCTCGATGCCACACAAAAATACGAGCCAAAAGAGTGTACTAATCTCCAGCACGCATACGCTTTTCCTGTTCTTCTTGGCATACATCCTGGATGCGAAACACCAAAAGAACTCATATTTTTATACCCACTCAGGGAAATTATGCTTTTTCAACTTCTCCACATAGGTTTCCACCCAAATTTCGGTAATCATGAATTTGAAGATGACTCGTTTTGTCACAAATCATTCTATCTCTCTAAACAGTGCTTTTCATCACCTCAACTAAGCATTCACTTCCTTGTTCCTCTAATATTACTTGTAATTCTACATCTGCTACTTTTCCAATTTCTACTTAATAAGTAAAACAATATGCGTTTTGTACTGCTGTTACACAGCACAAAACGCATAAAAAAACCGGTACAGACGAACACACAGCAACACACACAGACAACCCCTCGTCAATATGCATTTTCTGAATTGCATAGATGCAAGAAAAAAGCATAAAAAAAGCTGATGTAACCTTGCTAATGCGACACTGGTTTGTGAGCCGGGTCGACCAAGACGTTGGACGTCGAAAATTTTCGCCGATTTTGTCGTATTGAAATTCGTCACAGGAAGGCGTGCTAAAACATTTCAGTAATTATGCGTAGTTTCAGTAAAAAGCACTGAAACTCAGATTTCTTCCCATTTCAACATTTTTGCTTGAAAAAAGTCTTTAAAATATCTTTCGGAATGATAATAACTGCTCTTTTAACAACATCAACCATCACCAATTTTTCTCACCTAAAAAAATGACAAAAAAAATCAAGTTGACCGAAAAACCGAAATAATTTGGTAAAACAAGTGGAATTCTCGAATGAAACTAAAAATTTTAAGCAGTATAGATATCCCAGAAATACCCCATCTTATTCGGCTTTGTAGAAAGCAAAAACAAGAGTGTACACAGGCGAAGAATATTGTAGAAAACCATGCCTGCACTTGGAATATTTCCAAATTTTTTGCTAACACTGTCCGATAAAGCACAGAAATAAACAGATACGCATTCTACATGCAATTCGGCCTAACAAATTTGACTTTTGGCCAAGAAAAATAATTGAAAAATTAAGAAAAAATTATGGAAAGTATTTAAACAAAACTAAAAACTGACGTGTCTGTGATGTGCATTCGTAGCCGTTTCTCAGAACCAGATGCAGCAGTGCTGCTGCGGCGCTCTGTATTCTCGGCAGTCGACTGTTCATCTGCACAAGAAGCGATTCGATGAGAAGAGCCAGGCCATCCAGGGGGCCACTCTGGTAAAAATGGTCGCGGAACTGAAAAAGCTCTTTTGTCTTTAGCAATTTAAGTAAGCAAAATTACGGACATTATTACGAGAAGACGATCGGTTGACGAAAATTTCACAGTAACGCTGACATTTCCTGAGTGCCGAACCGAAACTACTTCAGTACCATTGCTCCGAGGGCTGTGACCCTAATGGAAAAAAAAAGACAGAGAATACTGAAAAAATGACGAAAAAACAGCAAATTTCAAGAGAAAAAAAGAAACGAAGTGCCTTTTTATTCTATTTGAAGTGTCTTTTTCTTTCAGCAGTGAGAAAAGAATGAATAAGTTGCTAGCTGGATCAGTGGCGAGAAGCGCGATGATGAAGAAGCAGCTGATCAAACTATTAAGAAAACAAGCAACCGGACTCAAAATAAGCGGCGGACAGAAAGTTACCGTGAGAAAAAAGACCTGTTGAAGAAAAATATGTTGATGCCATGCTGCAATCAGCAGGCGCCTCACGTCAATAAGTGGCACACAGAAAAAAGTAAACGAATATTCGGGAAATCTCGAAAGAAGTGGCATACATACATCGAAACAGGCGGTGAGTAACTAACTGCAGACATGAAGTTTAGGCTCAGTAAAAAGCAGGCCACGGCCGGAATCCGTGTACAGGTGCATTCCAGTAACATCACTAATGTGGGATTCTCACGCCGAATTTCCAAATGGTCCTCGTAATTTCGAGATTTATTGTCTCAGAAGAAGTGTGACTTACCAATCCAACAAAAACAGCAAGTGCAGCAAGCGTATGATGTCGAACAGCTTCTGGCCAACAATCATCCAGCAACGATAAAAGCAAGCACAGGAGTTGCGAGAAAATTTTACTTCCCTCTGGATGCATCATTTTGATGCCACTCTGCAAAAAAAACCGATTTTGTAATCTACTACTACTGAACCAAAAAATTTTTTTGCAAAATATCATGCTTCACAAAACAACGTAACAAAGAATAATTCGGCACTTTTTTTGCAGAAAGCATAATGTTGGAATAGAATCAGAATTAAGTAATACCAACAAATTGAAAGTTTACCAAAAAAATACTGTTTTGCAATTTTGTTAATTAAACAAAGAAAAAGCAGTTATAAATAATTGGTCAGCACACCGACTACCGGTGCGGAGATGCGCTTTTTGCATAGTTCCGCGCAGGTTTTTGTCGCTAACGGCACCAGTTTTTCCGGCAAATGCTTCTAGTTAAGATAACTGAGACAGACCAACAATGGTGTCGAAAAGCATAGTTTTAAAATTTTAGCTTTCTAGCTTTTCTGGTTCCCGAATTAGTGAATAACCAAACAAAAATTTTCATGAGCCTGTATGTGGGTAGGAGCGTCCATTTTGGGGATGGTGGGGTACATGCATGCAGATTAATTCTCCAAAGTTTCAGCCTTATAGCTTTTGTAAATCTCGAGATGAAAAATCAGTACAGACGAACACACAGACACACACATACAGACAATCTCGCGACAATATGCACTTTTGCATTGCATAGATGCAAAAAACGCAAAAAAAAAAAACTTACTGAAGCATGTTGAGCTAAAACTTGACTAGTTTCCAGTACGATAAGAGCAGTTTCCTGGGTCAAATTTGATTCTTGAAGCACACTGAATGGCGCTCCTGCATCTTCCATATCACCTTCACTGTACTGCCTCATCGACCCTGGTTCTGCAGCATTGAAATTTTTTATCAGCTGCCAACACAACAAGAAGCACTTTATAAAATTTGATAAAAATTGCGACTACGCAAAACCGTGAAAAAATTGTATCAACAGGGTCTGTAGCTGAAAAAAAAATCTGTAAAAAGACTTGTATTAAATGATAAATTTGCATTAACGACAGGAAAAAACACCACTGATGAAATTTTAGGTGGGTAGCAGAAACCATAATAACTTATAATATTATCCTTACTGTTGTTTTTTACTATGCCTATTATTATTGCTGTTGTTATTATTATTACTATTACTGTTGTTATTATTATAATGTTGTTACTATTATACTGTTATATTGTTATTATTATACTGTTATTATTATGTTGTTATTATTATATTGTTATTATTATATTGTTATTATTATATTGTTATTATTATATTGTTATTAT